CCGGTTTGGACCGGTTTGGCAGAACCGGTACCTAATTTATTTTGAGTTCGGAGAACCAGCCCAGAAATGGTCAGAGTAGCGTGCATTTACATGCCTCCAACCGCCTTGCTTGCTGCAATCTGGCTTTGCAGCAAGCAAGGCGGTTGGATGCACGTGAATGCACGCTAGTCTGGCACCTAAAAAAAAAAATAGTTTTTTTCCCTGCTCCTGACAGTGAAAATCCTCCACCTTACGTGAGACTGGGTTTTTTTTTATTCCACTCTCCTAGGCTGTTCACTGCTAGACTGTTCTACTTGATGCAGAATGGGAAGGATCCGCATTCTGCAGCAAGTAAACTTTAAAGAAAGTTTTAAAAATCCTCTATCTCACGTGGGATCAGGGTTTTTCTCTGCTTTCCAAGGCTGTTCACTGCCAGACTGTTTGTGATGACCCAAGGCACAGCACAGAGGAAATGCAATTTTCCCCAAATGCTCCCACGTTTCTGGCAAGCCTCCAAACAAAGGAAGACACACACACCTCTGGCTGCAAGTAGTTTCACATACAGTCTGATTAGGAGAGGAATTTACTCAAGGCCACAGAGATAAGAAAGAATGACACATACATCATAAACCTAACGAGTCTGTGTGACTACATGCTTGCCTGAGCAGTCTCAAAAGGGAAGCCAAAATACAGTCCGAGATCTTTAAACATCCAAGCAATGTTGTCAGCCAGTCCAATGGTCAGAGTTTCCGGGTTTCCAAGCAGAAGTCACAGAACAAGAGATCAGCAACAACACACACAAAACTTCCAAGGAATCAGCATTTGTTCCTGACAAATGCCTCTCCCCACAGTGTCTTCTTAAATCTGTTTCCAAGTGTGCCTTGTGGAGAGAGGAGGGACACTCTCCTCCCGAGTAGTTGAGTCTGCCTGTGTTATTCCCTCCTTCACTCTCTGTGCTCTAGGATCAGGTGGGGGTGGCCCTTGCTCATTGCCTGAACTCTGTCTCTCCTGTTCCTTCTGTCCCACTCCTGAAGGGCCCTGGCCTGCCTCTGCCTGCTCTTCCCCATATTCCTCTGAAGCCACAGATACCTCTCTCTCAATCTCCATAGGGTCCCATTCCAGCTCATTTTCCTCTGCAGATTCAGGCTCTGACAGAGGCATGACACTGTTTTACTTGATGCAGCAGAATGGGAAGGATCCGCATTCTGCAGCAACTAAACTTTAAAGTTTAAAAAGTGTGACAGAGAAAACCCTCCACCTTACATGGGATTGGGGGAGGGGGGGTTTTCTCTGCTCCCTTTGGCTGTTCTCTGCCAGACTGTTTTATTTGATGCAGCAGAATGGGAAGGATTCTAATCCTCCATCTTACTTGGGATCAAGGTTTTTTTCTCCGCTCCCATTGGCTGTTCGCTGCCGGATTGTCTGGCAGCAAAAAGTCAAGGAGAGAGGAGGAAAAAAAAACTGATCTCAAGTAAGGGGGAGGGTTTTCACTGCCAGGAGCGGGAAAAAACCCTGTTTTTTTTTGAGAAAATAGACTAGCGTGTGTTCATGTGCCTCCAAAAGCCAGATTGCAGCCAGGAAGGGATTGGAGGCATGTGAATGCATGCTAGTCTGGCCATTTTGGAGCTGGTCCAGAAGCAAAGGGAGTCATTTTCACCCCACCCAATCGCTTCGGGGCTTTGTTTCCAAAGACCAGCTTCTGGCTGCTCAAGGGAGGAGGAAGAAGAAAGTGGGAGAAGCCACAGGCGAGGCATGACAGATATTGGGACATGGAAGGCCTGGCTGCTGGGGCCCTCCAGCACAGTAAGTGGTTGCGGGGCACGTGGGCAGTTTCCCCCTACCTCCCCCTATGATTTAAATTTAAATAGCAGAATTTCAATTTCATATATCAAAGTTTAGTTTACTATTTTAATATAATAAGCACTGCTTAAGTGACAGGTGTTATTTCAGATGGCAAATAGCATTCAGTGGCAGCAACCTGTGATTTCATATAGCAAATGCTTACTTAGTTAAGCAATTTTGTCATTTTAAGGAGTAAACTGTTATAAGTAGCAGAGATTTCATGAGCTATTATTCCAGAAACATTGGTTTTAGCCCAGAGGTATATAATTGCATACACTAAACACCAATTTAGTCAGAGATAACTTCTATACAGGTAGTTCACAACTTACAACCATTCATTTAATGAATGGCTTTAAAAAAAGTAACTTAAGTTATGACCATTTTTCATAGCTATGATATGTTGCCATGTAACTTCCATTATTGGTACTTTATATGCTCTGAGATTATATATATTTATCCTTTATTCGTAAAATACCTTATTTCTAAATACTGACACTGATGTAGTTTATACATATAGTTTGAATCATATTTTTTCTACTTGAGCAATACCTAAGATGAACATAATATGTTCAGAGAAGAGATGTTACCTGTTTCTAATATATCAAACATAATGACAATTAGTCTAATTGGCCTACCTCTAAAGGAATAGGATCCTACTCCTACAGTGAAAAGATGGTTAAGGATAAATCACACAGCTGATGATGCTCGGATAAAAGTGAAGAAAATTGCAAGTCACGCCAATCAAGAAGCAATATGGAAAATATCTTAAATAACAGTTTTATTGTTTTTTGTCATGTATTATTTAATATTTTTTCATTAATAGTTTAAAACTTTCTTATAACATTCTAGTTTTGTGTACCCCTTTTATTGTTCTTATTTAAGTTTTAAATGCATTAAATAATAAACTACCTTTTGGTATATCATTTTTTTATACTTAAAACGGTCATTAGGGCAGAGAACCGGTTGTTAAATTATTTGAATCCCACCACTGGTTTTGACCTATAAGCATAGAGAGGTCCTCCTCCACTCTCCCTCCCTTCCTGTCGTGAAAGGAAAAAGACTGCTTTCTTTAAGTTAAGAGACAGAAGCCGCTGGATTGAGGCAGGAAAGGAGTGCCACAGCCTCAGCATTAACCGATTGGAATTTCCAGGGAAAGAGGAAAATTTAGACAAAAATTAGTTTCCAAAAGCCTTGTTTATTTCTGTAGAAAGAGGTAAATGTTTTTAGTCAGGTATCTGTGTTAGACGTTTGATTTATTTTGCTGTGCAAATGTTAGAAGCCGCCTTCTCTCAGGTTCCTATTTCTCTGGATACTTAAGCTTGGAGTAAGGTTCCCCGAGTTCAGATTTTACTTTTTCTCAGTGAAGTTCCTGACAGCTGATATATTTTGAAAGTGTGTATTTAATTGTACAGTGCAATTGGTGTTTTTAGTTATAGAATGTTTCTTAATTTTTAGACTTTTACAATGTGTTTTGTATTGTTATGCCACCACTCATGCCTGTGAGACGGGCAGCTATATGATCATTAAATAAAGCCAGATCCTGAATGAAGTTTCTAATTATAATGATCAGTCAGGAGATATTTTTAAAAATCTTATCTTATTTAAAAATCGTGTTTTTTTTAAATAAAATTTGATTTTATTCATTCTTGCGAGATTGATTTATTTCCCAATAGGAAAAGAAAAGGTTAAAATCAGTAGTCACATACTTTGTCAACGTTGCTAATATTGAATATTCTTGCTTTCACAATATATGCAGAACTGTCTGGTATTTTTAGAGTTAAATCAGGTGACAGGGAAAGGGGAGGACAATATAAGGAAAGCCTGGGGAAAAAGAAATGGAAGTGAATCTTTGCCTCCAAGTTAATTGGAAGATGTGAATCATGACCCCAAAATAGGGGAGGGGAAATGCCTGAAAGTTCTTTGAAGTGTTTCGTTAATCAGACACATGACATTAATGTTATGCCAGGTGGTTTCATTACAGATCTTGAAACTTTATTTCCATTTTCCTTTTTTATTAGCCAGATTATGGTGGTCCACTCTCTCCCATACATCAACGTGTAAAGGCATCTCCAGGAGCAATACTGATAGGAATAATTGTGAAGCAGCTGAAGCCAGGGAGGAAGTCAAGAGCGGTAAAAGTCTTCCAGGAGGGCTTCAGGAAGATAAGATTTCAGTCTTCTAGAAGCCATGTTCTTCTACCAACATATAAAGAGCTCATATATTTCATGTTTTGTTTTGTTTTGCATATATGAACAATATTTATAGTTTGACTGAGATTGATATTGGTCAGTTTTATCTGAATTTGAATTCATAGTTTTGAGCTGTGAAATAATCTTTTTTTAGTGCAAGTTTTTCAAGCTGGAACCTTAGTAAAAAAAAATCTCTTATCTCTATCAGGGGCGTATATCTTCCTAAGTCTTGGGTTCTCTGACAGAGGCCTTGGAGTTGAAGGTTTTGTGTGATATCTCAGCTATTCCTGGTACTGCACTTTTATGAACAGAGAGCTTTGATGTTGTTCCTGAGATCTGTTGGGGACCACTTTCTCAGTTTACGAGTCACAGCCCTAAGTTCTTCCACCACCACCACGAACACTTTGACCTTTACTTTCCACATCCTCTCTTCTGCCCTGATGCTTCTCCAGCTTCTCATACTCCTTCCTGGGCTTCCAAACTTAACTTAAAATTGTAACCCAAACTCTCAGTAGATAGGGACCAATGAGCCCAATGAGCATTCTCATACTTCCATTAGGGCTAAGAGCTTAGATTCTCTTGGAAAATATGAAGCATTGTCTGTAACTCATGAAAGCAGCAGCATTTATGGAGGTGCATACAAGTTCTAGGTTCTTATTCCCACATTTCACTGTCTGCTTCAAGCTGGTAACTTGCACTGGCTTTAAAATTGAGATGGTAGAGAAGGGATCAATCAGAAAACAAAATGAAGAAGAAAAGACTTCGTAATTTCAATGGGATCAAGATCTGGACTGGGAACACCAACATAACCGTTGGTAGACAAAAAGCGTGACAAAAAGCGTGATTAAAAATATGCTAACATTCATAGGTAGCTTAACTTGAAGCCTGCTGAACATTGCAGCAGCCTTAAAATATGGATCAACAAATCTCATTTAATACATTCATTAGGCTGGATTCATACTATGCTGAGTATTGCAATCATGTACTCACAATGTCTGTGTGCTCTGTGGGAATGTAGGGATGAAACTGATCTCCGTGCAAGTTATTTTATAGCGTCCCCAATCAGAACAATCACACAAGGATGAAGGGCACACTTCTGTGCCTTTACTTCTCTGGCCCATTTCCAGCAGAAGCAGCAGCTGAAGGAACTTGAGTGGCCACAGCATCTTCTTGTTTCTACTGCTGCAGCAGCTTCATTATCTTATGTAATCTTTTGCAACTGAAAGAAGAGAGGGATTAATTAAGGTCCTTTTCCTGAGAACACAAGAAAGCCGGAATAGCTAGAGAAATGTCCCATTCACCTAGTTATTTCCCACTTTCCCTAAAAACAAAAATAGAAAAAAGGCAAAAAAGCTACGCACAAAAATACAGTACGTTATACAATGAGCCATCAAAACCATGCTGTTTCTTTATTAATTTCAATATGTCTTAATATCAAATGGATATAAAAATAAGATAAAAATAATAAAAAATATGCCCAAATATTCTAGAGTAAGATCTGGGCCACCCAAAATACCACAGTAAGTTTCAACTACAGTGGCTTTTGGGAAGCATGTTCCTCTTTAATCAATTAAGGACCTTCCAGAATGCTGAACAAATCTTCTGTATGTTGTACTAAAAATACCCATACTGCCTAACTATGGCTTGAACATTTTCTTTTTTACACAGTGTGTCTCTTTTGGCACATTTCCCACAAATCTGATCTGAAAGACTTGCTTTTTCAAGAATAAAAAGAGGACGTCAGATTACAGTGTTACATTGTCCATAGCGGTATTTGTTTGAGATATTATGACACCAGCCATTGAAAACCTATCATATAGATCATCAAACAGCTAGAAACTATATAAAGAATACTTGGGATTGTGGATTAAATCCTTTGCTTTGTAGGAAGAAAGCTGATGGACAAATTATCTGCAATATATTGCAAATTAAACAATGCAATAATAAAATGTTTTGCAAGACTGAAGCAAGCATTATTTATTTTCAAATTCAAGGCTTCCAGTATTTGATAATCTGAAAAATTTTGAACATTTGAAAATGGCGTGGATTGTACCATTTTGAGGAAACATGATGTATGAATGAATAGATAATGAAATATAAAACAGAGATCCAAGTTGGTTTGAATATGTGCAGATAAAACATCTAACAACATTGTTAGCGGCATTAGAATAGAACAAAAAAACTATATTCAAAGATGCAGTTATTTAGAATAAAGCATAAATTTCCAAAACATATAAATAACTATAAACAATTTAAAATTTGATTTGCAAGTTAAAGAAATAAATTATTGAGTGACCTAATTAGTTGCCTAACTACTTCTGAAAACCAGAAATATTTCTGGAAAGAAAGTCAATTATCAATTTTCTATATGAAAATTGCTATATAAATATTGAATAAATAAATAAAAATAAATATAGGAATGAATACTAAGAGAGGAGAGACGTGGGATTTCCAATGAAATAAAAACAATGAATATAAATTATAGCTCAATCTAATGAAGATATAAATCTCAAATAGACTTTCCAATTCACTTATAGTGGACATTTGCAAAAATAAAGAATATATTTTGTGATAAATATAAAATTGGATTTTATCATTTTTTGAACTAATACTAGATCATGAAACTTTAACATATGGAAACAATTTCTTATATGCCTCTTGTATATAGAATAACCTAAAAAAAGGGAGAAGAAAACAGTTTTGAAAAATTGCCCAGCTTTTTAAATTTATTCATTATTTGTAAAGACAATCACATTTGTTGGCAATAAAAAGAGATAAAAACTGAACATTTTTAATTAGAAACACTATCTTAATTTTTTTTTAAAAAAAGAATATGATTGTAACTTTTTACATTTACAGAGCAGTCCCAAACAATTTCATTTAACTCGTGTTACTGAACTGTAAGATTTAAACATAGGTTTGCTACCAAAAGCTATTAATGCATATATAGTTTGCATTTCAATGTTAGCAATAATCAGGGGGAAAATTCTATATTTTTTCCAAACACAATTGAGAATGTCAACATTCTTCCCCAATGTATAATGCCATCTATCCTATTTTGGCTAGAAATTCTGAAAATGGCATCTTATATTTGAACAGACCTCATCAAAAATTAAATTCAACCAGATATATCACAGCAAGGAATACTCAAAGGCACCTTTTTCTTTCCCTTTATTAAGGCTTGCAAGCAGCATTCATGCTTACATAACTGTTGGACAGTCATTAGGTGAAGCTTCCTGCCCTTGGGGAGATGAAATTGTGAAGACACCTGCCAGGCTGAACTTCCTCTTGCTGTCATCTGGGCCCTCTGAAACCGCCCTGCTCTAACTATACCAGGATCTTTGAGAGTTGTAGCAACTCTTCATATGGAAACTCTCTTCCCCCCCCCCCAGAAATACACACCCTTGCCAGCCTTCAGAAGCTCTATTTTAAGGGGCAAGATCCTTCCCCAACTTCTCCATCCCTTTAGATCAATGTTTCTCAGTCTTGGCAACTTTAAGATGTGTGGATTTCAACTACCAAAATTCCCCAGTCTAAGTACAGTGGAGGGGGAATTCTGGGAGTTGAAGTCCACACAACTTAAAGTTGCCAAAGCTGAGAAACCCTGGGTACACCATCCTGAATACAGCAATTGAATCTGTTTATTGATTCTCACCGTGACTCGCAACTCAGTGAAGTTGGTCGCTCTCAAAGAAGATGAAGTCTTTTCTCGTCCTCTTCTCCCGCCCAGCGCCTTCTGAACACCCGGCCAGAAGATGCGGAGAACCCTCCAAAGTCCCATCAGTAATGGACAGCAAGGCGCCGCAACTTGCCCGAGCGGCAGGTAGAGAAGGCTCTCCGCTCGGCACTCCGTAGCAACATCGGTGCCAGCAGCGTCTTCAAGGCTGGCGGTCGGTTGCCATCTAGTGGCCACCTAGCCAGATCGCACCGAGTCGAAAGCTTTCCGCCAAGAAATATGTGTTAAAATATGTCCTTACCGGTTTGCTTTAGTTCAAAATTAATTATTGCTCAAATCCACTTGTTTATATTCCACTTTTTAAATTCTTCTTAGTGCTGAAGGTGGCCAATAATATTAGAAAAAAAATAAGCCTGTGTTCATGCAAGACCTCCGCTAAATAAAGTTAGTGATTCATCGGAAGCATTTGCATGATATGCTTACAGTGATTTATCCAATGGGTCCATTTTCTGGGCTGTCCCAACCCATTAACCATAATCTAACTATATAGGCTGAATCTGCACGACTAGCTAGCTTGAAGTGAAGTTCAGTTCAATCTCCAAAGCTATAAACTAGCCAACCATATGAACTGTGCAGAACCAGTCCAAGTAATCAGTCTGTGTTTCTCAGAAGCAAAAAAATTGAATGAAGCTCAATTAGTGTAGTGAGGCCACACACAGCCATTGCCATACTCTCTGAATCATATGTGGTTGTAATCCTTGTAAGCTGTCTGACAATGCCCCAGTAGTAGCCTCCCATAAACAGCAAAGATTTTTCACTTATGTTCCCATGGTTCTCTCCTGACCCATCCAAGTTACAATTTAAGTTACAGCCTAGATATGATTCTATACACATAGCATACAGTAATCCACAAAAGTTTTAGAAAAAACTATGTGGCTGTAGTGTGGTTGAGGTCCTGAAGTTAAGAATAGGACCAGGGGAGAGGTCCCTAGTCTGCCATGGATGCTTATTGAAGATTTATTTTTTTTAAAAAAACAAAGTATAGAACGTCAGTGGATTTAAAAACTATTTGTTTACACTATGTAAGAATACAATAGGCTATTGGAAAAAAAATTAGCTGTTACTTGGGAGGAAATGTTAAATTTTAACCTTTTTCCAAATTGTAGGAAATAACTGTTTTCCTTTATTTTTCATTGGTCACAGTCCACCAGAAATACTGGGCTCTAGTCTGGGTATTCATTTTTAGAAGAATTTAGAGAAATTAAACAGATTTGAAGAAATCAACTGAGGATTGAAAATAAAAAAAAACAACTGAAGGAGATTGAAGCAACAGTGCAGGCCCAGACCTAATGGATTCTCGTTAATAATGGATTCTCGTTAAAGGACGGCACATTTCCTCTGAATATCAGGGGGGAAAGGGGGGGGGTTTATTCCTGTTTTTGGTCTCCAGTGAGTTTCACACACCATTGGGTTATGCCATTTATTTCATTTGTTTTGGTCTCACAGCCAAATAAGGTTAGGGTTAATTGTTGATAAATAGAAATTTGTGTCCACTTCAACAATTATGTAAGACAGGGTGTTTTGCTCTTCACTGAGTGTATTTAAGAAAGGCTGGCCAGCCAATTGTCTGGGATGCTTTAGGAATTTGGATTCCCAGACTACATTACTTAAATTGTCTGCTTGTAAGATTCTAAGTTTCCTTCTTCCTCTTACTGAAAAGCCAGCAATTGCTGAGAAAGTATAAGAGTTACAGCAAATACTCCAGCATCATCCATTGCCCATCCCACCCATTTTTCAGGTAAAATTTTAAAACAAAAACATCATCTTTTATTTGTCTTTCTGGCCTATTATGATGCGGTTGTATATTTCAGTCTTCTCCTACCCAGTGTGTTCCAAACAGGCTGAGATAAAATCCCGGTCATCCCTTTTCAGCTTTTGGGACAGCTAGTTGTAATCCAACATAAGTGGAAGGAATCTGACTGGGAAATACCGCGCAGAGCTGAAATTAAGCGCCTACGCCTTTAAGAAACAAGCGCAGCCTGTCTCTCCCTATTACCGCTTGATGTACTGGTTCTTCGGCAACGAGGAACGGCGCTTTTGACTGTTCCTTAGACCACTTGTCGCGGAGCATTCTGGTAGCTGTAGTTTTCTCTCGACTCTAAACAATCGGTGCCTCGGGACATTCGAACTACGATTCCTAGGATGCTAGGCGCCCGAGGGGCACTGGCGCCTTGCGAGGCCGCTCTCGCTCGGTGGCAGGGCGGCTAGTTCAAGTTGCCATAGCGGCGGTCGGGCGGGTGTTGGGACAGTTGGAGCCGGAGGCATCTGGGAGTCATGCTTCTTTCCTGACAACTATTCTCACGTGAGAAGGCGCGGGTTAATCCCGGGATCAGAGAAGAGTCTGGGGCCCAGTGTGGAAATAAGCGTGTGGATGTATGACAGCGAGTGTGAATGAGATAATCAGAGAGGGTGCATCCGCCCGTGTCTTCGTCGCACGCGTGGGGTAGAGAGATCCATTGCCTTTGATCGTGCGATCGATCGTGATCTTATATTGGCGGAACCCGAGTTTCGGGTGATTGAGATTCGGCCGGGAAAGCGTCTTTATAAGATCCGGACAAAAGAAACTTTGCAACACCTTAAAAGGATAACAATTATGCAGCTCGATTGCGTGCATCAAAAGTAAAGGTGATTCATGTTTTACCCAGCCTCTTCCTTCTGTCACCCTTATCTGGTAGGGCTCAAGAAGCGATCCATAATTTGACCACGATGACTCGTAACAAACCCTGTTAATTTCAGCAACTTTACCCTGGGGAAAGCGGCAATTCTGTACAGTATCTGTAGAGTTAGGAGGAAGAGCCATTGAGCAAAATGGGGTGTACAGATTGAGGTGCATGAGTAAAGGCACAGCTCTCTTGGTATTTACTTGAGCTTAAGGGAACGTAGGGCAGATTTCAAGTGAAATGAAAATGAAAAGTGTCTTCAGATTATGTATGTGCACATGAACTTCATACAGGATGTATTTTTGGAATAACTATGTGGCTTATAAACTAAAACTTTTTTTAACTGCCTGATTGGAAGAAGTTTGGCACTTGCTCTTATTCATTTTATGTAAGACTACTCATATGATGTGATTCTGTATTAGCTCTTTGTGACAGTTCCTAAGTGTGTCTGCTTTCAGTTGTATATTCCATCCATGTGGTTATAAATGAGCCTGCAAACTGATTTAGGTTAAAGAGGTGATACTGTTGAAACCTATGAGTTATTCTTAATTTTGAAAAGAGGTAAATTTTTGCATTATTTAACAGTATGCTGGGTGCGACGGGTTAATCCTGCTTTCTGGAAAAATTGTACTCTAGCACAGGGGTCCCCAATCCCCAATCCGTGTATGCATGCCAGCAACCGGTCCGCACAAACAAGCAAAGCCCCATCCACAAGATGCAGGCAGCACACAAAACCATGCACTCTTCAGTCCACAGAAAAAGCTCTCTCCGTGGAGCTGGTACCTGGTGCCCAAAAGGTTGTGGACCTCTGCTCTAGCCATACCTTAAAGTATATGTTGATGTTTGTTTAAGGCAGGAATGTCAAACTGCTGGCCTGTGGGCCGGATGCATCACGCGGAAGCCACGGCCACCCCATTGCCAGCAATAGCAAAACCATCCCGATACGTTGTGCGACGTCACGTGATGTCACGAGTTTGACATGTCTGGTCTAAGGCATATCATCACTGAATTAAATAGATTTTAAATTCTTCCCTCCCTCCCTCCCTCCCTCCCTCCCTCCCTAGGCAGATGAGACAGTTTGATAACCTTTATAGTACTTCATGCTGTACTGGGATGGAAATGGGAACTATGCCTATAGGCTGATGATATTCTACATTTAAAAGGTAAAAATGGGTGTGATCCATTGCTCCTGAATCACAATATAGTATGGTCCTGGTTACTGTAACAACGCTTTCCCTTGCTCCCTTTCAACCTACTTTTTCAACAGTTGTATTCTGTTTAATTTTATACTGACTGAACTGAAAGTGGTTCAGCACATATAAATCTTCCCCTAAGTTCTTAGTTTGACTCAACTTCCTTTTTCCTGTTGACTGAAGTTTGAAGAAGTTGTACTTGAAGTTTCCTAAGTGTCTTTTTGCTAATAGTCTGCTAGGGTGTGGCTTTTTTCCTACGATTATGTCTATATTTTATTTCTAATTGTGACATTCTGTGCTTAAAGGTGGGTAAACTGTTCTGGAGGATTGTGAAGTTCATTAACAGCTTACTTGAGCTTCTTCACCCTGAAAATTTGTAATGGTGCATGTATTTTTTATACTATCCTTTTCACTAATTTGTTTTACTAAATTATCAAAGGTAGGGGTTATTGCATTGAATAATAGATTTAAGAAACAGGAAGGCAAATTTCTGGTTGGATGTTAATGAAAATTTTATTAAAAGAAAGAGCATTCTGGCTTTGAACATTGGTGAGAGAGCTGCTAAACTCTCCCTTACTGGGTACTCAAGTAGAGACTAGCAACCATCTTTCAAAGAAGCTTTAATTTGAATTTCTACATGGAGAAGGAATGGAGTGAGAGCCAAAATGATCCCTTCTATCTCTGTGAATCTATAAACTAATGTAAACTGTAGAATAATGTTGTAGCAAATGGAAGAATCAGTCCAATTCTGTTTCAGAAAAAAAGATACTGTAGACACTCTTAACTGGGTTGCCTTATTTTTGGATGAATGGGATTGATTCAGCCAACTTTTCTTTTTCTTTTAATACTGCTCCTGGCAGTGAAGTAATGAGACTTTATTTTGCTGTTTAGTAATGTGTGTTCTGAATGAAGTTTTTGTTTTTGGAGTTGTACTAAAAATAGTAGTTTTTAGAAATTTCTCTTCATGGATAGGGTTTGCTGTAGTGATTATCAGATGTTTAGGACAAGTTGCTATTTGCTATATCATAATAATATGTGAATATCAACTTTTAATGTATGTGCATAATGATATTACATGTCTGGACAATTGCAGATGTTTACATATGTAAGATTCTTCAAAACTGCTGTAAGAGGAAGTATAGTATGTCTTTGAAAACTTGAGAGTAGTAACAATAACAGTCTGGAAACAATCGGTTACTATGATATTCCTTTAAAACATTCCCACCCCCAACAAGGTCAGGCAACAAGAACACAGGTGACCACAACTAAGCCCAAACTTTCTGTTGTTGAATGAGACAGTTACAGAAGTGAATTTTGCCCCATTTTCCAATATTTCTTGCCACAGTTGTTTAAGTGAATCACTGTAGCTGTTAAGTTACTAACACGGTTGTTAAGTGAAACTGGCTTCCCTATTGACTTTGCTTGTCAGAAGGTCACAAAAGGTGATCACATGAATCCCTGCAACCATCTTAAATATGAACCACTTGCTAAGCATCCAAATTTTGATCAAATTTTGATGGGAGATGCTGCAGCGGTGTGAAAAATGGCCATAAGTCACTTTTTTCGGTAACATTGTAACTTCAGACAGTCACTAAATGAATCATTGTAAGTTGAGGACTACTTGTAATAGAATACATAGTGAACTTGAAAAGGAACCAAAGGATCATTTAGTTTGGTGTTTTTCAAATTTGGCAACTTTAAGGTGCTGGCTGGGGAATTCTGGGACTTACAGCCACACATCTCAGTTGCCAAGTTTTTTTTTTAGGAAAAGCAATTACACCATCTTTGAGAGGTAGTTGTCAGGCCTCTTCTTAAAAACCTCCTGAGAACTAGAATTCACAATAAATCTCTTGTACTTCTTATTCAATTATTCTGTGTAATGTCTTTGCACTACTTACAGGTATTGCTCAACTTAACAATGACAATTGGAATAGGAATTTTTATTACTAAGGGATGTGGTCATAAAGCCCAGCCATATTGCTTAGTGATACCTGCAGTTCTGATTGTCGTTGTTAATTGAATCCCAGGATTTGTTGGCTTCCCACACCATGAATTGGAGAGGGTGTATGGGATTGGATAAGGGTGCAAGGGGGTATGTGAGAGGTACTTCCCAGGTTGGGTGAGTAAGAGTGCTCAAGAGGTATTGCATGGGTTGGGAAAGTGTGTGATAGGGAGCAATGGGTTAGGGAGTGTGCAGAGTATACAGAGATGCTGCTTCGGTTGAGGAGGGTCAAGGAGGTGTATGGGATACCCAAGAGATGCTGTGCAGGGAGGGTGTGCAGGGCTATGCAAGTGACTGCTGTGGTATGGTTGCAAAGGGGTTGGGAGAGGAGAATTATCTCAGCAACTTGTGATCTTCTCTGCTAGCTTCTTCTTTGCATACTGGAGAAGTGGAATGGAAGTTGCAAATGGTGATCATGTGACCGCAAGAAGCTTGGCAACTGGTTGTAACTGCAAATGGATTGCCAAGCACCCAGATTGTGATCATGTAACTGTGAAGGTTTGGGACAATCAGAACTCCAAGGGCTGATCATAACCCTCATTCATTTAATATCCTTGCATCTTTAAATGGTGGCTGAATGAATGGTTGAATCTGCATTTATATACGGGGGCAATTTGGAAATAAACCTCCATTTGCTTATCAATGCAGACACTCGCAAATAAAGAACTTGTATTATACACATTAGAAAACCACAACATTACATTACTTTTTGACATAATCGCCATTCAAATTGAGGGACTTGTCATAACATCTTACAAGTTTTAAAATTCCTTCTGCAAAAAAATCTGCCTGGAAATGAAGCTGCCTGTAACAGCATTGTGAAGCGCATTGTCATCATCGAAGCGGTGCGACACAAGCCACTGTTTCATTTAAAAAACTGGTTCATTTTTAGTTGATCTAGTGGACGAGTCAACTGAAACACAACCTTCTTCCACTCCTCACTGCCTACTGAACTACTGCGTACAGTGCCATAGGAAGGGCGTCGCTATCCCTGCCTATTTCTTGCACATGCTCAAAAGAGGTTTACTTCCAAATTGCCCTCATATAACTACCTTGTCTTTGTATTTGACAACTTTCCCCCTTCACTTTTTTACTTTCTGCTTTTTTCAGCTATTTTCAACATATCAATAGATTTTTTTTACTTAATTTGGGTTTTTTTTTTTTGCATATTGAGATATTTTTCTTGCTTCATCTTTAATGACGTCTGGTTCAGTACTATTCTGATGCCAGAGTACAAACTAAATGAAGTCAAATTTTAAGAGAATCCGATACTGAAGTGGCAAATTTGCAGGAAAGAAAAGCAATGCCAGGGCTGTGTTATTTTTTTAAGGCAAAAATTTGATTTGAGGAAGTCTGAAAAATACTAGTAACAGAATAGCTTGTTAGGGATTTTAAAAAAAGAGAAACAAACTTACAAAAGATTCTTCTATAGTACCTTCTATAACCTTGCTACAGTATAGAGCTTTGAAGATGATTGTTCTAGAATCCTGTGAACACCATGAAGAATAATGGTCAAAATTCAGACATTTCAGTGTAAATATTCAGTCAGTTTGTTCAGCGGTGTAGTGGTCTAGTGGTGAAGATGCTTGCCTCCCACTCCAACGATTGAGAGTTCAATCCTAGGTAGCAGCAGATGTTTCTTACTTAGTGCACAAAGAAAAAAAAATATCTGCTGCAAACTCAGTGTTGGTGTCAGGAAGGGCATCTGGTCAGTAAATGCTCAGCTGCATCCAGTCACCCTGACTTTATTCTGAATTAAGGGCCTATAGGGTCATAAAAAGAAGAAAAATTCAGTTTGTTAGAAATCCTTGCTCTTTCAAAAATAAGACAAAACAAATATGACTTTTCATTCTGGGTTATACAATGTACAGGCTTTATAGTATTGAGCCTTGTGATTGATCACCATCTTTTCAACATTGAGGCATGCCTCAAATCTGTGCTTTTTAGTACTTTACAAATTTTGGATATAGTTTGTCATTATTATTAATGCAAGCACAGATTAGTGAGATTGTGATATGTTAAGGAAATGGCAAAGTCTAGGCTATGCGTAAACAGTAGATCTGTACATATTGTATGCTGAATCTACCTGTCCTTCAAAATCTTTTTCAAGTGTCCTCATTGTCAAAGTGAGAAGGTTAGTAATTGGGAATGTGTGTATGTATGTATGTTTGTTTCGTGGTGATATGATACTGCAATTGACAAAATGTAATAAAATTTACTAATGTGAGTCCTTTTCACCCTTAAGATTCCAATGGCAGATTCATCCAGCGATTCTGATAACATCCGTCGTAGAATTGGAAGAAGGGGTCCTATAAGAGCAACCAGAATCCGAAATCATGAAACCGAAGATGTTGCAGAGAAGATTCACACTTTAGCAAATACTTTGCAGGTTGCTATGAACTGTCTGCTTTAAAGAATAATTTTGTAGAATTACAAAGAAGGGTTCTAATTCTATATGGTCAGATAATTGTCTTGACTTGTAACATTGAGCCTGGGAAAAGTTTGTTTGTTTAATCAGATTCTTAGTAGTTTATTTAATAGTAGTTGAGCACTCCTTCCCATACCTTAGCCTCTATGCATCCATAAAACAGTGGCTATAAACCCAGGAAGATCATCAAGTTTTAGCTCTGCTCTTTCAAAAGGGGTGGCATCCCATGAAAAGACTAGTCTGGAACAGAACACCTTAATGAATATTTAGAAACTCTATTTTGTTTGGATTTGATCAATGTTCTTCTCAGAAAGGCTGAGTTGGAGACAAAACACTAGTTATCAAGGATGGCTGAATTTATGGAGGGCCTGTTAAGGAAGGGGTGCATTACAAATGGCAACCCCATGACTGAGAGACACTGCGATGGTTGAAATGCCTGTTAGTTGCAAATGCCCATTTCACAATCATGAGTGTGGGGAATGTTGTGATGATCATAAATGTGAGGACTAATTGTAAAATTACCTTTTCAGTGCTGTCACAACTTAGAACAGTCATTAAACAGGGCAGTTGTTAAATGAGAATTATTTATTTATTCAAACTATAAATATCTACATAGCTTTTCTATTAAAATGGCCAAGATGATTTATAATATATTAAAACCCACAGTTGGTTTTTAAAAAAAGACAAATTGAATATAAAGTGGAAAGTCTGACTGATTATATGCTTTATATCCCTCTATATTTAGATTTAGTTCAATATCTGTTTTTAAGTAAAGAAAGAAAATAGGTCATAACAGGGAATAAAGTGCTGAGAAGTCATCAGTTTTTGTGCTTGGATTTAATATAGTCATAGTGCATATACTTTACATGCAAAACATTCCAGGTTCAATCATTGATAAATTTGAGAAAGTTTGAGACAGGATTTTGTCTTAATAGTTTCTGTTAAATAGTTTCTTCTAGATAGTTTCTACTGATACACAGGTAAGTGGTTTAACTCTATACAAGTTCACTCCCTGTAGTCTTTTTGGTTCATTATGTTTTAGTATTCCTAAATTACCTACAATCAAGGAAACAGTAAGATATGCAGGTTTCTGAATACTGCCACATTATTCAACATGATTATAGTTAGGCAGACTATGAAGTTAATTGATTAGAGCAGCATTTCTCAATAGTGACAACTTTATGTGTGGACTTCAACTCCCAGAATTCCCTAGCCACTGCTGACTGAGGAATTCTGGGAACTGCCCCACACATCATAAAGTTGCCAAGGTCAAGAAACATTGGGTTAGAGCAAATACAAATGTACTGTAATACACTTTTGACAGCTGTATTGAAGTGGATCTCTTAGAATCCTAGGAGGAGGCATTGTATTAATAATTGTAAGAAAGTTGAATAAATATGTACAACACAAATATCAGTGGGTACTAAACTGGTTGTGACTTTAAGGATACACATTTGGTAAGAAAAGCACACAAACTACGTATTTTGAATATTGACCTCCCCCACTTAACCCTCATTTCACATTCAGTATTTAGAGGTTGGATTATAGTTTACCGTAATTATGTTTTCCTCTCATATTTAAAGGATGCAAATTGGAATTTAAGACACGTGGATCAGATGTTGGGCCAATATCGAGAGTATAACAATGAGCAGGCAGCAACAATTGCAAATGTAAGCAGCTATTGGTTGAATTTAATAATTAGAATCCGTAAAAATGTAAAATTCCTGTTTCTGTTCTATTCTCTAGTGCATTTTGAAGGAAAATTATTTTCTACCTAACCAGTTGCCATTTTCATATAGCTTAAAGAAAATTTGGAAGAGTCCCTGGGCCAATTAAAGAACCAACGACTGTTGAGAAATTCTGGAGTAAGAAGCGCATCTCTTTCAAGCTTGTATGCAAGTGACCTGGATGGTGGAACTCCAGGTATTATTTAATGAACCTCATGCTGAAATAATACGCTCATTTATCTGTGGGTGAATAGACATTTTAAATAGAACGTTTGAATAGAGCTTTATAGTTTCATGAATATAGCAAAATCTTTATTGATTAGTTTTGCTTTGTAGTAGCTATTGTGAATAATGTATACCTGTAAGTATGGTGGAAAATATAATGTTTGAGCAGATTAATACTAGTATCTTGGCAGATTCATAGAAAAATAGACAGCCCTTCAGATATGAATTATATGTCAGGAGAAATTTGTGCTGATTTTCCTATCTTTTTTCTGTGAAGAAGGTCATCATTTCAAGCCTACCTCTCCTCTCAGAGATTACAGTGCAACACTAGGTACCAGGCAACGACGGTCTAGGTCTGCTGTTCGATTTGTTGATCAGCGAGGTAACTTGGACCAGGTGAGTAGGTATTCTTAAAAGCATATAGGCTCATGTTTTTCCGTAACCATTTTTTTCAAATCCTTTTACTTAGTGAAGTTATAATTCAACTATTAGGTTGTTGATGTAGACTTTGAGAATTATTGTATATCTGTGAAGTTCTTGGTTGTTTGCTTGCAGATGTTTCATTACCCAACTAGATAACATCCGTGTGAGTGAGCATGGGAATTGATATATAGTAGCTTGCCCCAGCAGTTTTGGTGGGGATGTGGTGTCCTCTTTGGTGGTTCTTTGATTGGATCATTGTTTTCTGCATGACGTTTATCTGATGTTAATCCTTGCTTGCTGAAGGGGATATGCTCTAATTGATTTGTTTCATTCCTAATTTTATATTATCCCATTTCAATGGTACATAAAACTATTTATCTAAATGTGTCTGTTGATAGCTGACTTGTCTGAGTGCCAGGCTTCCAGGAATTCCCTAGCATTTTGGATTTGGCTAGATGTAAGATGGTAATATTAACTCAGTTGACACTATGGCTGAGTCTATCCATGTGTTGAGAAATGAAGGATTTTTTTTCTCCTTCATCTAACTGCTATTTGGTGTTTATGTTGCACTCTGTTAATCTTCTGACTGTCTCTCCTATACGGTAACTGTTAGAAGGTTTCAATTGTATGTTGTAGATCAGGGGTCCTCAACCTTGGCAACTTTAAGACTTGTGGACTTCAACTCCCAGAATTCCTCAGCCAGGTTGAAGACCCCTGTTGTAGATGACTCCTGTTTGCTTTTTTCTTCCTGGGCTAGTGGGACTTTGTATATGTTTTCAGGAAAATTGCTCCATGTTAATAATCACAATCATATGAAGAAAAGAAAGCAAACTTAAACTGCACTAAAGCATCAACATTTTAAAATTTGTGCCTTATTTTGCATTTCAAAATAAAACAGCTTATGGCAATTAGTACTTTTAAGCTTATGTGGAATTGATGCAGTATTTTCTAATATGCTGCTATTACTACTGTGTTCTAAAAATGTACCATCTTAAGGAGAGAAGACAAATTCTTCTCAAAGATGAACCATTAAAACGGTTTTTCTATGTTGCGTAATACTATACATACTGAATAACACATTTGTACCCAGTATGTTTTTAATTTTAGTGCTTTGTCCTAAGCTTATTAAAAATAATTGCTTAAATGTAGTTTTCCGGAATGCAAGTGGTGAAATGTTTAGATAATAACTAAGCAAACCACAATTAATAGTAATTTTAAAGCTTTTAAATGTGATACTACATTTTATCAGTGCAATCCAATACATTTATTATGTAATATATAGGAATAATTGCGTATAAAACTACTGTAATCTAAGAACTACTTGCACTACTATTTTGAGTAATGTTTACTGCTGTTACTATTTGCAAGTTCTTTTTTTAGAGAGTAAAAACGGATTTTGGCTAATGGCTTTTCATTAAATGAGCTGTGGAATAACTAGTGTATTTTAAAATGTTCAAAACAGTCAATGCTAATATGATAAGATTCTTTTGAAATTTATCAATCTAAGAATAACATAACAAGACAGTTGAACAGAGATGAGAGAAATTTACAACAGTAAGCATCAAAAATATAATAAAATATAGTTTAAGAAGAGTGTTTTAAGACACTCTTGAGTGAATAATATTTACTACCTTAAATCTAGCAGATATTCAAAAAGTAGTGCCAGTAATTGGAAAAAGAATAACATGTTGAAAAAAAAGTAATGCATTTTTTTAGAGTAAAGGAAAAACTTGAGTGTAAAAAATCTGTAGGATATTAAGTAATTCCAAAAAACCCCTAAATACTAAAATATTTCAATAAATTTTGCCCTGAACTAGTTACACAGGATTGATCCAGGTCCTTTGATTTAATTTGAATAGATCTTAATATACAAAGTTGCAAAAATCTAATAATTATGTACTTTCTAATGATTGTTATTATAGCTGTTTTGTAGCTTTCAGTATTTTGAAAAGTGTACTGGAAAATATTCTGAATATATCTGATGGAACAGCTAATTATGTACTGTATGTCTTCATACTGCAGCTGCATTCTTTACATCAGTCACTTAGAGATCTCAGCAGTGAACAAATTCGCTTAGGAGAAGACCTCACCAGAGAACTTTCAAGAAGAAATCGGTATGAAATGAAAGTGTGTCTCTGGTTGCTGGAGAATCTTGAATATTTAACACTGAGAACAAATATTTGATGTTTGAAGGTTCTGTTAAGTAATTGCATTGTATTACATTATATGTTATTTTTATTGTATCTGCCTAATAACAGGAGCTCTCTGGCACATTACAAAAGTTATGAAAATATTTAAAAATCCAATAAAAGTAATAAAATGATATGTATCAAAGCTATTTTCCCAATGTAATGTGGGCACTTATTAAAATAAAGCATACAAAGGTGCCTTGTTGAAGAGGAATAATATAGCAAGGTATGGAAAAATACTAAGTGGCTGCGAAGTTACCTTCCTTGGGAAGGCATTTTTTAAATTGGAACTATACAGCTTGAAAATCCTTTCCCTTGTAGGACTGTGTCCTTTATAAAACTCCTCCATAATTTCACTTGGCAGTCTGGGAAAGAGCCATTGATAGAGTGCATGGAGAGATGCATATGAGAGATATTCCTTGCTATACTGATTCCAAAATATTGAGAGCTTTAATAGTCATCACAGCTATCTTGAATAGAGTCTATAAACAAACTGTAGAAATCAATCACTAAAAAAACTAGTCTTGCTTCAGTATTGGTGCCATGACTATAAATACCATTTTCTGGCCTCAGTCACCTTAGTTCATGAAAATGGGACACTACTAGTAATTTCTCCCAGGTGGACTTTGGTCAGAAAAGGCAGTCTTGTCGGTATTCAAGCACCAAGCCATAAAATGGGTATTCAGGCGCCAAGCCGTAAAGAACTTACAAGTTAAAACTAAGACTTTGAATTGTACCCAAACCTATTAGCAATTAATACAGGGCACATAATACAAGTGCAATATACAAATGATAATGAGCACCTTCTAACACAGGGGTCCCCAACCCTTGATCCGTGGACCAGTACTCGGCTGTGACATGCCAGCAACTGGTCTGCACAGACAAGCAAAGCCATATCTGTGGGATGCAGGCAGCACACAAAATCATGCTCCCTCTGGTCCACGGAAAAACCTCTCTCCACGGAACCTGTCCCTGGTGCCCAAAAGGTTGGGGACCTCTGTTCTAACAGTTCTAGGTAGTTCAGAACAAAGTTAAGCCACCTATCTGCTTCTTCACCTAGTTTATACTATAAACTTCAATTGTTTGTTGTACTTCCATTCTATTAGGGTTCCTTCTCATTAGAGCAGTGGTTCTCAACCTGTGGGTCGGGACCCCATTTGGGATCGAACGACCATTTCACAGGGGTCGCCAGACAACGCAGTCCGCCATTTTTTCCCCCTTTTCCTTAGCTGTGCTACTTCCTTTTATTCTATTGGCTTTTGAAAGCCAATAGAATAGACTCTCTTGAATAGAGTCTAATTCTATTGGATTTCAAAAGCCAGTAGGAATTGTCCAGGCTGTCTTTGCCCTGCTGAGCCCACCAAAAGTCCCATTCTGCAAACAGTGTTGCACCAGTTGAGTAGTCCTCGACTTATGACCGGTTGGGGGGGTTGCGACATTAAAAAGGTTGAGAACCACTGCATTAGAGGAAAGAAAAAAACAAAACAAACCCTGTTCTAAAACAGTAACATATTCTGAAAATAAGAAGTTACTACAATTTTGTAATAAAGATAGAAACTAGTTTGCTTAATGTAGTACATAGTATAATTTCTTTGTTTTATTCTAAGAAATGATGCTGAAATGAAAAAAAGATTAGAAGATATATCTGGCAGACTTGATGAATCACAAAGACAGGAATTGGTGAGTGTATTGAAAAATCAACAATATTTCTTAAATAGATTTTGGATTTGGATTTTTTAAATCTATCTGCCTGCCTGCCTGGCTGCCTGCCTATCTGCCTATCTATCATTGTTGTAGAGTCTGTCTGTCTGTCTGTCTGTCTGTCTGTCTGTCTGTCTGTCTGTCTGTCTGTCTGTCTATCTATCTATCTATCTATCTATCTATCTATCTATCTATCTATCTATCTAGTATCTATCTAGTGTCTGTCTGTCTGTCTGTCTATCTATCTATCTATCTATCTATCTATCTATCTATCTATCTATCTATCTATCTATCTATCTAATATGGAGTGCTAGAAAAAAATTCAGGGACTACTGTATTTCTGAGCTGAAACCTCTTAGACTTTAGGAAGAATTTAATGTGGTTGTATATTTTTCTGTATAAAAATACCACCTTTTCTTGAATTTTATCTGAATTAAATTTGGGAGCTATTTTCTAATGTTTGCATTAACTCTTTAAATATCTGAAGAGGAGTCAAGTCCCATATAAATATAGATGCTTAAATCTTTAGATGGCTTCTGTTTTCAGAAGGTTTGTATTATAGCTGTTCTTCAGATTCCTATCTGAAATTAAATTCTAAAGCAGATGAGAATATTTCAGAATAGAAACCTACCCTGTTTTGAATCTGGATTCCATCTGACAGTGATGTCACTGTAACAGTCATAGCAAAAGACAATAATTTTTTACTTTTATAAATCAATATGGCAAGGGAAGAGAAGGGAGTATGAAATTTAGGTTGAGAAGTTCCAGTGACACTGGAATGAGACAACTTTTATGATCCTGATGCTTCAGTTACTTTGGTGTGGAAGTTGGTAGAGAGATATTAAAAGAAACATAATTAGATTTACTGTACATTGCAATTGTCATTGTCTATTTTCTTCTCTGGAGTTATTGAATGCTAATGAACTAGATTAAACATTTATTATTTTAGTTTATTATTAGAAGATAATACTGTTAATAATCATTTGTATATAAATTTGTATTAATCTATATCAAGTCCAAGAATCAGTTCTACAGGAAAGGAGCTACATTTCTTATGAGCATACCTTTCCTTGCACAATACTTTCTGAGCCTGAGTTTTTGAATGTGTTCTCATTATATGAGCTATTTCAACATTTATACTAGTCTGTCCCCATGTACAAATAATACAGGGGTTTAAAAATAACTAGACAACCCATGCCTTTTTGGGTCATCCTTTCATATTTCCTTATTAGATTCTTCAGTGCTTTCAACAGGGACTGAACTTTTAATGTATTGCCTTCAAAAGAAAAGCTGGGACAAATTCAGATGTATCTACCTTGAAAATAGCCTATGTTGAATTGTATAGCACAATCAAACATCAGTACAAGAAATGTTTTATGGCATCTTGTATTATGTCATAACATATTTTGTTTTAATTTTTGTGTCATAAAAAGTTTGTAAAATTTGCCAAATTTCAGTTCATGGATCCCAGATTTTGGACACATTCTCTAAGTCCATTTAAAGCGCCTTGGTTCAAAAATTATTGCCCCATGATGCACATTGTTGCCCCATTAAAGGTCACAGAAACTGGAGTTTTAGTAATAAATAGATTTTTTAAAGCTTGACATTTGTTGCACTATGTGAAGTGCAGCACATGTTGTCCCTTCATAACAATCAAATTTTCATCTGTTTCTGGTCAAATATAGCCATTTATACTTTTTCCTATTGTACTTATGGAGTTATATAAGTTTCTTTTTCTGAGTGGGGGATTTAGTCAAATGAGTAGAGAAAGTAGATCAAGATGTTGTAGTGCTACATCCAGCCCTTGGAGTAAAGCAAACCCATTCTGTTAGTGGGCATCACTTGTGGCAAGGGAAGACTGACTCTTATTGCTAGTTTTACTATGGCTGGAATCCTATGGACCCATTATCAGTTATCAGTAATTGTTTTTTGTTCTTATAGCAGTTGAAGAAAATTGTGAACACACAAGAACCAGCTTCATTTTTCCCTGTTATTTGTAATTTAGGTAAGGGACTAGTTTCTTTTTCATCCATGCAAGACTAATTATGCAAGTGTCATTCAGCTAAGCATACAAACTGATCCCTCTCCCTTTTTGCTGATTTCAGAAGAATGTGGAATACAGTACATTGATATATGGCCAGATTGCTTTACTATTCAGTTACTATTACTATATTTCTATTCTTTAACTATTCCTAAGAGTGTAGTTACTATTAAATTCCCCATAGGGTTAATCAAGAGCTTCAATTAGAATGTGGCTATCAGTCTTTGACAATCTTCATGGACCTTATGGTCCTCTTCTCTATCTTTGGGCACCTATGCTTGGTGGATTGATCTCACTCAGTTCGGTGTTCCCTGTGCAGTAACCTCTCTGCCAGTCTGTCTTTGATGATTTTAAATCACTGAGGAACTAATATTTCATCAGGAGTCTGCAACTGTATAATTAAATGTTTGTTTGCTAGTCATTTTACTTCCTCTTCTTCTTCCTCCTGCCAGTCCAACAACTCTTTTCCTGCCAGCTTTTTAGTCCATTTAAATTTCCTTTCCTTTCTCATTAGAAATATTGCGTATGTGGAAAAAAAACCACCTTCTGTTTCGTCTCACCTCTTTTCCATCCTCAGGTTGCAAGTATGTATGTACCGTATTTTCCGGCGTATAAGATGACTTTCTAAACCCTGAAAATCTCAAAAGTCAGGGGTTGTCTTATACACTGGGTAGCTGTTCTCTGAATTTAAAACCAATCTGCCCCCTAGTGGCCAGCCCTATTTTTTTTTTTACAGAAATAAGCACTAACACAGTGTTTCTCAACCTTGACAATTTTAAGGCATGTGGACTTCAGCCAGCAGGACAAAGCATTCAAAAATCCCATTTAAATTTTTAATTTTTTCTTTACAGATGTAAACCCAGCAAACACACTGTTTACCAACTATTAAGTGATTTATATTTTAAAAAATCAATAAAATATATGGGGAAAAAATACCAGCTGAGTTCAGGAAGCATTAGGGAAGCAGTGGTGGGCAATACTCGCTTTCTAGCAACAAAGGAATGGAGCTCTTATTGTGCTCATCTATAAACAGAAATTCAATATTGTACCGTATTTTCCGGCGTATAAGACGACTTTCTAAACCCTGAAAGTCTTCTCAAAAGTTGGGGGTCGTCTTATATGTCCAGTCGTCTTATACGCCGGAATATACGGTGTGTGTGTGTGTGTGTGTGTGTATGTGTGTGTGTGTGTGTATGTGTGTATGTGTGTGTATTGTCCTTAATTATGCTAAAAGTACGAATATTCAAGAAGATAATCGAACACCAGGATAAAATACAGACAAAACTGTTTTAATACACTTAGCTTTCATTGGCTAACTGCCAATGTCGTCAGGGTAAAATGCCGGTGTTTTGGGAGCTTGCTTATAAAGCTGGCCATTTTTGCGCTCTGCTCATGGAGCGAGTTACTGGTCTGTCTCCCCCAATTGGCCGTATTGTTTCTAGCTGTCACTCATCAGCCCGTGTGTTCTTAAACATTATATATATATATATATATATATATATATATATATATATATATATGACAGAATATATATATATTATATGACAGAATGGCAGACAGAGTTTAACATCTTAATATCTTAGTTTAATTTATTTTAACAATTTATTGGGCTGCTATCTTGCAAATGAGCATGTGAGAGACTAACAGCAAGTTAAAACCTTTCACAAGTAACAACCCAAAATAGTTTGAACAATGCTAACAAATAATACAATATGCCTAAGATTCAAGCAACCTGTTTCCTCTTGCAAATCAATAGCAGTCAGAACAACAAACCAACCAACTGAGTTTGCCTAATATCCAGGCTCCAATTTTTAAGGGAAAGACCAGGTCTTTAAAGAGTTATAGAAGGTTATAACAGGGTCAGGATGGCTTGGATCTTTGGGGGAGGAGGTGAGAGATGCTCTTGTAGAAGGCAGGTGTTGCAACAGAGAAGGCATGCCTTCTAGGTCCTGTTAAATAATATTACTTTATAGAAGGGACTCAGAGCATACCTACCCTGTTAGCTCTCATACGGTGAGCAGAAAGAATTGGAACAAGCAGACCTGCAAATAATTGGCCTTGGCTTTGATTTGCCCCTGTAAACCAACTGGAAGCCTGTAGAATTCACAGAGCACTGATATGCTATAGAAGCATATTATGGCATATCCCAAATTGCCGCAGCATTCTAGATCAGTTGCAGCTTTTGAATGCTCTTCAAAGGCAGCCCCAATGCATTAGTGTAATCAGGAGGTGACTACAGCGTGTTCATGAACAAGGCTTCTCAATTGAGAAATGAGTGCAATTGTAATGAGATAAGTTAAGATTGAGATTAGAGTGATGTTATTGTAAAGGGTTTTTTTTCTTATATTAGTAATTAATTGTGAATATGAACTGAGATGTATGTCAGTTCTGATTTACCATGTTCAATGTTTTTAATTTTTGTTATTCAATAAAAATATTTAAAAAAGAGAAATGAGTGCAATTGGCACACAAGATAGATTTGTGCAAAGGCCCTCTAGCATTGAATCAGGAGCTTGAGACCAAGAGGATACTCCAAATTGAGTGCCAACTTTGCCAGAGAATGTGCAACTCTATTCAGAGTTAAAAATAGAAAATCTCCAGCACCTGGAGGCCACAAAAGTCACAGCTGTTTGGTTTTACCAAGGTTGAGCTATAATCTGTTCTTCCCCATTCAAATCCCCCAAGCCTACAGACATTAGGAAAGGACCTTAGTGGCATTATTTGGTTATCACAGGGTGGAGATATAAATTGGATACCATCACCCTACTGATGATACATCACTCTCTGTCAATGAATGACCTCATTAACTTCATATAGATGTTGAATAGAAGAGAATAAAACCCTGAAGCATCTTGAAAAGTAGGAATCGGAAGCTAGATTTTTCTCCCCATCATCACCAACCGGAAGCAGCCCTGGAGAAAGAAGAAGAATAAATGTAAACTGTTCCTCCTCTCCTAATATGGCCTAGAAATATCCATGATCAATGATGTAATAATAATAATAGTAGTAAAGTTGGAAGGGACCTTGGAGGTCATCTAGTCCAACCCCCTGCTCGGGCAGGAAACCCTACACCATTTCGGACAAGTGGCTGTCCAGTCTCTTCTTAAAAACTTCCAGTGTTGGAGCATTTACTGCTTCTGGAGGCAAGCGGTTCCACTGATTAATTGTTCTCACTGTCAGGAAGTTTCTCCTTAGTTCTAGGTTGCTTCTCTCCTTGATTAGTTTCCACCCGTTGCTTCTTGTCCTGCCTTCAGGTGCTTTGGAGAATAGCTTGACTCCCTCTTCTTTATGGCAGCCCCTGAGATATTGGAACACTGCTATCATGTTGAAGGCTGCTGAGAGTCATGGAGGTCAAAATAATTGTGTTTCCCCCACATTCCAGATCTGAAACCCATCATCTGTAAATGTGACCATGCAGTGCTATAACAAGTCCAAAACATCAGTGAAAAGGATCCAGATAATCCATTAACTCGAAGGCCTTCTGGAGCTAGAAGTCAATCATCTTCTCAATAACTTACTCTAACATGAGAAGGTGAAGACTAGACAAAAATTGTTTAATTTCATGGGATCCAGTGATGATTTCTTAAGGAAAGAGCAGACCACCTCCTTTTTCAGAACAGGTGAACCATCCCCTCCCTCAAAGTTTGAAAAGTAATACTTTTCAGTACATTGGAAATTAAGTTTTAGTAACCATGGATTAATTATCCATCCCTTGATATGATTTAAACACCTTTTCCCACAAAAAAGAAAAGCAAGAAAAATGCTTTTGGTCTTGCATCTTTTGTAAGGAAGCATTTTATCAAAACCAAGTAACAGCAGGATATATATATTTTTAGCATTCTTAAGAATATGTATGTATGTATGTATGTATGTATGTATGTATGTATGTATGTATGTATGTTTAAAAACTAGGTGTGCCACTGTACAAAAACTTACTTTAATATTTGAATGAATTTATGTGGGAAACGGTAGACTAGGCAGCAGAATATCATTTTAGACATGCTAAACATGTAAATGTTACTTGCCACTAGAGGGTAGTGTCTGCAAATAAATAAAGGAAAGAATTCAGCTTTATCAAACATGAGTGCTCCCTCTATCTTGCAAAGTTAGAAAATTGAAGCAAGCAATTGCAATTAAAATAAAATTCCTGATTCATTCAATCATATTTTATTATTTAAAAATTAGAAGTTATTCTAATTCAGTTCTTCTTGTTCAGGAAAGTTTTAATAACAGTTTAAAAAAACCTGGCACTGATATATGGAAATATACTGTACTGGCATTGCTATATGGAAATACAATCTTTTCACATTACTGCCCTAATCTAATTCTACATGTGCACAGCTAGCATCCCTGGGAGGAGATGTACGTTCCTGCCAATATCAAAAGGCTCTTCCTACTAATTTAACAGGATCCAGATGTGAATGTTGGAATACAGATTCAACCTTGTGTCTGAAATAGCTGCATAACCAGTTTTAGCATGGGAATCTCCTTTGCTGGATTGGTTGCAACAGTGTTTTGATTGATGAGTATTACTTTCCATACTCCATACTATATACTGATGCGATGCAAATGAAAACAATGCCCAGTTTTATGTCTCAGGATATAACATGGAAGCCAATGGTTGTAATAAACTTGTTGAATTTAAGCTGATCAGAATCTCATCAATGCCTTAACAAGTAGAGAACATCTGAAGTTTCAGAGGATATAGATGTAATTTTCCAAGGGGAAAATGAGTGGAGATAAAAAAAAATGAAGCGGACAACGAATACAAACTTACATATTTGGATTCATTTTATTTTACATAATTTGTTTTGATTTTATTATATGGGAAATGACAAAGTACTAGGCAGGATATGAAACTCCACCAGTGAACATAATTCTTATGCTTGGTTTGTTTTCTAAGATTTCTTCTGGCTTAAAATATTTTTCACTGTCTTAGATCATCAAATAAACAAATGCAGAACTTGGTATAAACAATTAGAATAGCCTAATCCATCTATTCTTGGCTTTCATATCCACTGTGTTATTAATGCAAATAGTGGTAGGGGGAAAAGTTAATTGGTAGCAGTGGACAAGACATATTTTCTCAGTAAAAACATTTGCTTAAGCAGCTGCAGCTTAATTGTAAGATTGCAAGTTATTTCTAAATTGTGTTCTTTCATTCATGGACATCTAGTTAGCGGTATAAAAGCTGTCTCATACAAATATGTCTTAATAGTGGTTTATGGATCTTTTTGATGACTTTAGATTTTAAAACAGGCTAAATCACGGTAGTACGGCATATTCATTGCTTGTAGAACATTGCAGATTCAAACTCCCGTATTTCTAAATAGAGATGGAGAAGTCTTGTTTCATAATGTTAAGATCTTCTGCTATCTGATACCAAAACTAGCTGAACAAATGGTCTTATTCAAGGTAAGGAGGTTTTTATGCTCCAGCAGAGGATTCTATCAGCACGATGCAAAAGAATAATTTGCAGCAATTTCCTTATATCTGAAGCCTCTCCATGCTAGTTCTCATTTTGTGCTGAAAGATAGTAGACCAACTGTGAGGTCAGAGCAAAACCAAGGCAAAGGGAACAATTACTGATAATCCCTTTCCCCATTCTGCTGGTGAAAAAAAATGCAAGGGAATCTTCTAATAATAAACAGATTCCAATCAGATATAACTCTATAGGTTCTGTTTTGCTCAGGTTATTATTTGGTTCATATTTCTACAATAAGCACATCTTATAATAGTGTTAATGTTTGGAATAAATTAAATATGCAATTACATTTTGGTACTTTCCTTCTGTTATAAATTTGGAGCATTTCTGTTTGCTTTCTCAACATCTTAACAAAAGTTTCTTCTCTGAAATCTGCATGCTTATATAGGTATCAGAGCGGGTGGAGAGAAGACTTCAAGAGATTGAACGAGAAATCCGATCAGAAAGGCAGTTGGTAGAAAGACGCCAAGACCAACTGGGACACATGTCTGTGCACCTGCAGGAAGTATGCATAAAGGCCTTGGTATACGTTTAAAACTACAAAAGTGCTTCATGCTAGCAATCTAGCCTGTGTTAATTATTTAAAAGGATGACTTCCTCCCTCCTGCCCCCCATGATAGAGGTCATGCAAACTGACAAGACAGTGGTGATGTGTGGCTCCCAGATTTCAACTACAAAATCCAAATAACTGCCAGTTGACAGCACAGCAGTAAAGGAAATTTCTCTGCTGCTATCCAGTGTAATTCTAAGTCTAGATCTGGTAACTTTTCTTCTATAAAAAAAGACTTCTCATGCTGGAAGCAGGGAGTATTGGTTCCCATTATACAATAGTTGAAAGGATGCTGACTTAAAACAATTTCAGGTACATTTAAGATTTAAACTATTGAAGGTATTATTAACAGTCACTAGCATATACTTTTCTTTTGAATAGTAAATGTAATGTAATGGGTAGCCAGTTTCCTGGTGCCGCATAATCAGCTGTGTATGAATGGAAATGCATCCAGGAGAACAAGAGTCTGTGCTGTGAAGGCAAACTGAGCTATTGTTTGCTTCAGAACAATAAAGCCTTTCCCACCTTTTCTTTGAAAAGAATGCATAAAGTGCATATGGGAGAGGTAGTTAATTTCCTCCACCCCTGTACTTGAGAGGCCAGGGTTTTTAAATATATAGCTTATAATTTTGGAATTAACTTAAATGTCTGGGCAATTAGTGGCAGTCATTTTCAATTGACTTTACTCTGGTGTCTCACCGAGTCTATGAAAAGTTTAATATCATATTTGGTTGCTTTAATAAATATAGTGACCTGGGTGCATTTTTCTGAAAAGTAATTGTAGATTATATAGAGAAGTATAAGTCGCTAGAGATTAATTTAGATTGATGCTTTCAGTTTTGAAAAAAGTGGCTTTCTCTTTAGAGGTCACATTAAAAAGAAGAGGGGGAAAAAAGTTTAGTAAAAGTAATAGCTTTTCAACTTCATGTGCTCTTATTAGGTCAAGAATTTTTTTCTGGTATTCTCCTTCCCTTTTAAATTACCTTGAATGATTGTGAAAGATTGTGATTGATTAGAGCAAAGAGGAAATGAAAGTAGTTAAGTTCCGCAGTGAAGATTCTCACAATGACTAGCATTTTCTTTTGATTGCTTTTGGGCTTCTGCTTATTTTGGATTTAGGAAGTTGATGTATAATTTAATATCGTACTATACCCTGCAAACCCAAATATGCACTTTTACAAGGTATTTTTTTTAAAAAAAAAACCATTTAATTTTTTATCAAACTTATATATGCTAGTAAATATTTTGTTAACGTTCTTCATGCAAATTTTACCTTTACCTTTTACTATAGTGGGAAGTGGTCTCGCTTGATAAACTTCCCTAATAGATGGGATACCCTGCCTTCCAATCCTGGTGGGCCAGATGGATGTAATGGGCAGCCTTCAAAGAGCCTGGCCCTAGGCCATGTAGGACTTTAAAGATGTTAACTAGCACCTTAAATTGTACCCGGAAGCAAATTTTGCACAATTTATAAATTTTCTCAGCATCAAGGAACCCAGGCAGCATACCAGAACAATGGAATTATAGGGAGTGCAGTACAATAATATTGCACTGACCAGAACATGATCATAACTGATGATAGCAATAGTCAATTCAAAAGATCTTCTGGTATAACCATATATTTATTTATAAGCTTCCATAAAGTCATATGAGTGAGGGCTACAGTAGTACAAACTCAGCTGTTTGTTGAATTCAACCTGTGTATGTGAGAATTAAAGGTTTGGCAGGGCGGGGTTATACATGAAGACCTTATATTAGTATGTTGCAAGTCACCAAGAACTGAGAATTAAGGTTTAATACATTATTGTAAAAATTTGTGTAGCTCTTCCTGCTGGATATGGTTTTTCTGTCTCCCCAAACTTTTAAGATTTTTGACTAAACATCTGAAAAAGCTATGAAGTAGAACCATAAATTATGTGGCAATTTTGTAGTTCTCATCTCCTGTGGCATATGTAGCAATGGTAAGTGGCTTAAACCTAAATGTCAGGGTTGGACACCATTTGCACAATTGGCAAGATTATATATCTCTCTGCTATTTTCCTCAGGAATATCTGCTATATAGGGATCTATCACTTGTGTGTTTTGGAAAGAAGAGCAATGGATTAAAAGGATGATTTTGAATGTACAAATAGCTGAGAAAGAAAGAGTTAGTGCTTTATCTTCTCTATCTGGCTTTGGTCTGAAATTGAAAAGGGTTTCTTTGAAGCTAAAGCTGCTACCTGCAAAAAGGCTCATGAGAAAACTAGAGCCTTGGGGATCTCCTTATGATAGGCATTGAGTTACATTTCCTCATTGCCTGATTTAAGTTTATCCTATCATCCTCTGATGGAAACAATATCTATGCAATCCCTTGCAGTTCATACCTCTTTACAAAGAATTGTAGTTCCGTGCATGAAGCACAGGCTGTTTTTGAGGCAAAGATATATATATATATATATATACATTACTGATAGTCCTCATTTAACAGTGCTAATAGAGACTGGAAACTCCATCAATAAGTAACACAGTTGTAAATTTGAAAACCATGTGACTGTTGCTTAATAGTGGCAGTCCTGGTTGCCATTGTTAAATGAGGACCATGCCAGATGTTAAGCAGGGATGTCACACAACTACCATTTCCAACTATCTGCTGAGTTCCCTATTGAGTTTGCTTGTGGGAAACTGACAGGAAAGATCACAAATCATGATCAGGTGATTGCAATGGCCATAAATACAAAGTCCCATAGTAATTACAATTTGTTCAATAAGCTTGAATGGTTGCTGAACGAGTGGTTGCTAAATAAGGACTACTTGCATATGGGAAATCAGTGACTTCTGAATTCTTTTAATATACAACCTTTCTTGCTTGGTCTGTACCATACGATATGGTGAGTGGTACTCTGATAAAAAAAAAACAACAGGTCTTCAGTGAAATTTAGTTCAATGTTTGGACCAGAGATATTCACAGATTAGGATATGTCAGTGTCAGCTTTTATTTTTGAACAGTATGCATCTACAATATGTACATATAGTTTATATGGTATCATCAGACAAAAGAGAACAAAGTCAATATTGTTTAGCATATTTATACATTAATTATTCCCTTGAATCCCACCTCTCTCTTTTTCTTTCAAGGCTTTAAAGCAACAAGATGCTAAAGCCAATGGAGCAGAAATTATCTTGAAAAATAAAATTGCAAAAGTGGAAGATGAAAAAAGCAAAGTAAGATTTAAAAATTCTATTGTAGTGATGTGGTGACTTGTAGTGGCTTTTCCCTATGTGATTAAGAAAAAAGGCGCTTGAACTTTTCCCCAGCTATCAGATGGCATAGTTGTGGTTTATTTTTTCATGTTAAGATGGCAAAATATAGAAAAGGGAGGAGAGGGAAGCTGATTGAACCATTCCTCATCATATGCTGTTTTTCTGTATGGAAGGCATTTTTGCACATGTTGGAATGTTAAGCCAAGTGTTCAGCCTGATGATGATAGTATGCATGGAGCATCTGTTCTACTAATGTAAGCTCCCCATAGAACTCTGGATGATCATAATTCTAAATTACATGGGGAGATCTCTCCAAGTAGAATAATTATCCCCTGGCAAGCATTCACCAATCAGCTAATGAAGTGTAGTCAGAATTATGGCGGATCTTGCTGTTTGTTGCCCCATGTTCCTCATGCAATTCTGCTTATAAAGGGGATTTGAACTGAGAAATTGGGCTTCAAACTGAAATTGTTTCTTAAGCCTAGTTCACAACATTTCATGAAAACCATCCTAAACAGGACAAAATATACTTCTTTTCTCATTGGTTTTCAATCCTAAATATTGCAATTTTTTAAAAAGAAAACACTTTGTTTATTGTCTATACTGATAGGCTCTGAATGTGGCACAAATGAAACAACATTAATAATTATCTGTACCTTCAAATAAAGGAGGTTCCATAGTTTTTGGCCCCATACAAGAAAATTTAAGTTGTGGTGGGTAGGCTGCAAACGGAATATGACTTGAACATCAGTTGAACTTAAGTCTGGTTTAAACCAGTTATATCTTATTAAAACCAAGAGAACTTGAATAATTGAAATTTATGTATAGACACGCAAGAATTAAATTTGGTGGAAGAAAGCAGACCAAATATCCTTGTTGGGAGAATTACAAAGAGCCGTCACCAAAAATAATATTCTTCATCTTTCTGCTATACTCTTTGGGCAATGGTATATAGCAGGGGTCCCCAACCCCTGGTCCATGGACTAGTACCGGGCTGCGGCATGCCAGAAACCAGTCCACGTAAACAAGCAAAGCGGGCTGCAGGCATTACACAAAATGATACCCCCTCCGGTGCCCAAAAGGTTGGGGATCTCTGGTATATAGAATAGTGCCTCTGAAGATGAATGCAGTTGATGGGCAGGTTTATGTATGAAGATATCCTGGTTGATAATATATAGTATTTTGCACTTGATCTGTAAATGAACTGCCAGGCAAAGCAGCTTAAATGTGAAGTGATATAATTAGAAAAAAAAACCAAACTGTATTATTTTGGCTGCCACATGTTTGCACCAACTATTATTTCCAGATATTCTTCAAAGGGGAATATTGGAAGAGGACATTTTGTTCTTAGTGGTTACAATAAGATCCAAGCTGTTCAAAGTTTTGGTTTCAGCATCTTGAATTGTGCCTTGAAAATCATAGAAGATCAATCCTGAGGCGTTGATACTTTTTTTTTAATATCAGTCATTTTGTAAGAGCATTGCACTTTCTTTCTGTTTTGTATTGCTGGTTAATATATGCAATGTTCTTTTCTATCCTGCGTTCTGGGCTGAAATTTAGGCTGTTCGTATCCTACACTCCTATCTGGCATACCAAGAGATTTCTAGGAACTAAATCACCTTAAAAATGCATTAGACTCAGTGGCTTAATTATGTAATAGAATGTTAAAGAAAAGTCAATGCTCTTCAGAATTTCTCATACCACAAGATAGGCAACAAATAGATAGATAGATAGATAGATAGATAGATAGATAGATAGATAGATAGATAGATACATACATACATACATAGATACATACTTAGACGGATAGATACTAGATAGACAGACAGACAGACAGACAGACAGATTTGTCTGTAAACAGATCACTTGCTTTAAAATACCACTGAGATGAAAAGCATTTTTGAATTTACATATAGCATTGCTTAATAAATAGCACTTTCAAAATACTTTGAGTTATTTAGGTATGATACTTAATATAACCCAAACAATACTAGCAATGAAATTGTTTCTTATTCTAATAAGCTTGAACAGGTTTTGGAGCATTCCCGGAGGAAACTTGATCATTCAGAAAGTAATAGAGAAATTCTTCTCCATCAGGTAATTGCTTTAACATTTAATATTTGGGTTTCATAAAGTTTGTACTAGCTATCTCAGCAGACAATTGGGAGGAGATGTGCTGAGGATATGCTCAGAAGTCTGTGTCCTAAGTTAGATTACAAAATTAAATATGTTTTAAAAAAGCCTAGAAATATATAACAGAAGACAGTAGTCTTGTTTTGCCTTATGAGATAGCACCAACCTATCAAAGATGTTCTCCAGGTTTTTAAAGAAAGGGATTTAGTCTATTGTTTTACATTTTGTATATTTGCCCTTCAGCGTGGGACACTTTAAAAGGAGAGAGCATTTGATTTGAGATCAGCAAATTGGTTTCATGACTACATGGGGATTTGAACCAGCTCTCTGTATTCCATTTGCAATAGTTTTCTGCTGTACATTTTTGGACTAAATGGAGTGCAGAAGGAACTCTTTCCTACAGGATTGCAGAAAACTATCATACAGAATACCAATGCATGTTTCATTTGCATATTTAATTTCTTATATTTTAGTTTGCTGCAATTCAAAGCATTTGTTTCCTGGAGATATTCTACATTTCAATTGTTCTTTGCTGTAACTGATACTGTTAAAACAAGCTGTGTTTTAAAGAAGGTGGGCTGTCTCTGGTCATATAAAAGCTTTCATAATCTTAATTGGTTTGAGTTTTCGATTTGGTTTTGTTTGTTCACTTGTTTTTTGCATTTTCTGAAACTCATTCACAGTATCTATTATATAAGTGATAGATTAATGTGTTTGAAAATAAAGTAGCATAATAAGTAATACAGATTGAAATGTTCTATTTATTGCTCAGGATACATTAATGTAATGTGCTAATTCAAAACTTCAGGCTTCCTAATATAGCAGTGGTTCTCAACCTGTGGGTCAGGACCCCAGTTGGGGTTGAACGACCATTTCACGGGGGTTGCCAAACAACGCAGTCCGTCATTTTTTCCCCTCTTTTCCTTAGCTGTGGTACTCCCTTTTATTTTATTGGCTTGAATAGAAGCCAATAGGAATTGTCCAGGCTGTCTCTGCCCTGCTGAGCCCGCCAAAAGTCCCATTCTGCAAACGTTGCTGCACCAGTTGAGTAGTCCTCGATTTATGACTGGTTGAGTAGTCCTCGACTTACGACCGGTTGGGGTCGCGGCATTAAAAAGGTTGAGAACCACTGTAATATAGGCATTCTGATATGTTTTGAAAGAATGTAAAAGATCCTGCCTTATAATTAAATAAATTAACACAATGTCCAATGTGTTGGATATTTTTCTCATGTGTGGTGAAGTTGTAATACTTTTCTGCATTTCTCATAAAGAAATTATAGTTTGAAAATGAATTCCTTATAATATCTAATTTCTTTTTGATATGTTTTTGTTTTTCCAGCAACACAATTAAACCTCTGCCTCCATCTTTCCATTCAAAATTTTGTATATTGTGCTTATAATCATTATTAGACATATAATAATTTGATATGTGTTTTCCACCTTTAAGGAAAACAGTAGCTAGATGAGAATTATTTATCTAATGAGAATTAGGAAAATGGTATAGGCAGGAAGAGTCAATCCCAATCAGCAACTCTGTGGCTGATTTATTTTAGTATAATATATAAAATCAAAAGATCCAGTCAAGGTCTTTCATATGTAAGGTTTTGAACATGCCTTTCTGTACCTGAGGTATGCCTGCATGACAAGTGTATATTTATATATACCCATCACGCTATTCCTTTTTAGGTCAAACAACATTTCAAAGCATCCATTCTTTCTTCACATACTTGTTTTGCAATTTGATCTTCATCCATTTTGTCTGTATAACTGAGACATCTCAATAGTCTTCTTTCATTCAGGTAGTCTTCAACTTACAACAGTTCATTTAGAGACTGTTCAAAGTTACAATGGTACTGAAAAAAGTTACAATTTTTCATGGTTACAACCTTTGTACCATCCCCATGATCGTGTGATCAAACTTCAGATGCTTGGCAACTGGTTCATATTTATGACCACTGCTGTGTCCCAGTGTCATGTGGTCCACTTTTGCAACCTTTTAACAAGCAAAGTCAATGGGGAAGCCAAATTAACTTAACAACTAGGGTTACTAACTTATTAACTGCAGTGATTCACTTAACAACTGTAGTAAGATAGGCAAAAGGAGGCAAAAGGAGGCAAAAATCAATTAACAAATGTCTCACTTAACAACGGAAATGTTCGGCTCAATTGTGATTGTAAGGCGAGGACTACCTGTAGTGTATTTTTTCCACATTTTTTATTATTCATTCATCCATTCTTCATCCTGACTCTTCTTGGTTTACCATACATAGTAACCTATTTCCATTGTGTTCAGATGTTTAATTTTCTCCTGTGATATCCCACAGTCATTTCCATATATATTTAAATTTTGTCATCTTAACATTTCATTTAAAATATTCCTTTCAACAGGAATCTGAATATTCTTACATGTCCATATTTTCCCCAACTTCCATTCTTGCACTCTGAACCCTGGAACTTTTTCTTTACTCTTTCATCTTGTCCCCACCATGCATTCATGTTGTGTGGAACAAATTTGTCCTCTGGTTTGCATTTATTCAGACTCATCATTTTTTCTATAATTACTGTTAATGGGAGACTAATATTCAATTATTACTAATGTATGTGTTTCTACTTTCATATGTACTAGAACAATCTGGATGATATGAAATCGTATTTTCTGACATATACAGTATTTTAGCTCTTTCAGTGATAATTAAACCTACACCTTCAGGTCTATGGAGATTCTTAATCATTCAGGTCATGGTTGTCCCAAAGCTGCTTTTTCCAAAAGAAAATTGGACTTGTTTTTTTCTTTGAAAATGTTTTCAAAGGAAAAACCAAATCCAGTTTCCTTTTGGAAAAAGCAGCTTTAGGATACCTACACTTTCAGTTTCTCCACTCTGTAACATTATACCATTGCCATTCAAATCTATGATATCCATCCTCTTTTTTTTTTAGGTTCACAAACATACAGAAATATTACTTTCATTTGAGTTCATTCATTAATTCATGCTCTTTACTATTTACTTCTCTTATATTCAAAATAAGATGCTATAGCTATAGCAGAGTTCAATTTCTAATGAGATCATGACATATTATTATCGTATTGAAGTATTCTGACTGTGTTCTTTTTCATTGTTTATTTTATGGTTCTATTATTTTACTTCTGTTTATATTCCTTTCATTTTCTTCCTTTTTATTATTGTAAGCTGCCTACAGTAGCCCCACAGCAAGATAGGTGGCAAATAAATTTAATGGCAGATATCAATATTTCATGTATTTGATTTATTACTAATTATACTTCATGGATAATAGCTAAGAATCTCATTTTGCTTGTGCCTTTGTATCCTTTAAAGATTTAATAACATCCATGAAGATACAATTCCAGATTTGATTGAAATCATTTTCTAGCTTGTTTAAAAAGCTGGCACTTGTCTGTGTATATGTATGTGTGTGTGTTAGATTGAAGATCTTCGTTCCCAACTTCTTAGAGCAGAAGAGGACCGTTTGACTCTGCAACATCAAATAACTCAGGTTGCTAAGCATCACCAAAGCCATCTAGATGAGCAACAGGATGACAGGAGGAAGCAAAGAGGTAGGACTTTTCCTTTTACTTTTGGTACCCATTACTGTGAAGAGAAGAACTTAGTATTTGGAATGGTAAGCCACATTTTGCCAAGGGACAGAGATAAATAATGCTAAGGCCGTAGCACATAGACAAAAGCATTTTTAAAAATGAGTGTGTAAATGCTCACCATCTTAACTTATTTTACTCATTACTCCATAGGGGTGTTGTGGAATTATGACACTGATGTAAAAAATAGTTACTGGGAATTAAAGAAAACACAATTTAAGTTATGGAAAACGTATTGCAAAACTTTTTCAGATAAAAAAATGAGTGGAAAATGCTAATTTCGTGTAGATTGCTGAAGGATTATGGGACCTGCTAGTGTCTCACAATCTACTCTCCACTGTGCATCTCCTGTTGTATGAATAGAATAAAAGCTGAAAGGCAAGCAAAAGTGTATGTATGGGCTACGGAAGAAACTCTAGCAACCTTCTGTTTGCTATTCATGTCAGGCAGAGTTGTATGGTTACCTTCTAAGATCTCATACAGCAGTAGATGGAAGTAATAAATCAACTATGCTTGGTAGATTTTATCCTTTGTTTCATTTGGCATTGAACAGATCAGTATGGTTACATTCCCTAAATTTTCAGGGTTGCTGTGAGGATATATTCTAGGCCTCTGAAGTCACTTAGATCTGCTGAAACTGTGACTGTCCAATTCAGGTGGGAGAGTTTAATTCCAGCTGCTAAGCTTAAAAACCATGCTTGGTTCTGGCACTTAGTTAACAGCTACAAGAGGGGCATGGAAATATCATTGCCAGAATATTTTCACAGTGGAATCACTAGATAATCCTTTTATGGCTGACTCTTGAAGTGGTCTTCCTGATTAGCTTGCTGAGGTCAAGATCCTTATACAGCTAAAATCTGAGAGAGCTCTGGCAGAAAACTTTACCCCGAAAATTACTAAAGGGAAAACAAGGTTGGTGGCTCCTGTGCTGGCTGTCTTATTTACCCATATTAGTAGTTCAGCACATTTTTATATTGATTGGAACCATGCCACTATCATCTCTTTTTATAAAAACAAAGGAAATAGGCCAGACCGTGCCAACCATGTTTGCTTAATACAATCAGTAAGTTATGTGTTGTGGGTACTTCTCTGAACTACAAATGATCAGATTGACTCAGACTCATCACAAAAGGACTAGAAACTGGTGCAGTTGGTTTGTTTTTGTATCTCCCTTCATGGCTAGGGTAGACTTTTTTTTTTAAAAAAAAAACAAAAACAAAAACCAAGAATAATGAACAAAAAGGAATTGTAAATTACAAATGCCTTCAGCTATTTTAGAGAACTAATACCTTACTATTAGTATTCTATCTACATTGATGCTTTATTCATAGTCTTATCTTATATGAATTCCCTATTCCTATATCAGTATATTGTAGTTCCACCATCTATTTTCTGTAGGCTATTTATCTGCATTATATTTTAAAATCATATATATATATATATATATATATATATATATATATATATATATATATTCGCGTTTAAGAATATATAGAACAGACCAATCGTGCGCAGTCACCTTATTTAGGCCCGATGACGAGGTCGAGGAGTCGTGCGCAGACTTCACTACTCCTATAAAAGTGATTCTCTCACTCCCTGGCGCACTAGCCCTGAGGATGCCGGCAGGTGACGGCGAAAGCTAGGCGCTTTTTAATAAATTTTATAGTTTTATTACCCTGGTGATCATTCTATTTCTCACTATATATATATATATATATATATATATGTTTTCTGAGGTTTTCGCGGGTATTTGTATGTAGATCTTTGGTTGTTCGGGTTTTCTCCTGCGTAAAATTGGAAGTGTCTTGGCGACGTTTCGACGAAGTCCCATTTGTCATCTTCAGGCTGGTGTTTTCATCTTCGTGCTTTGAGCAGCAAAGCACGAAGCTGAAAACACCAGCCTGAAGATGACGAATGGGACTTCATCGAAACGTCGCCAAGACACTTCCAATTTTACGCAGGAGAAAACCCGAACAACCAAAGATCTACATATATATATATATATATATATATATATATATATATATATATATATATATAAAAAAACACGATCACCGGGAGAGTTGAAGTAAAATACTTTACTTAGTATTTTATTCTTTTATTTATAATTATGCCCGGGAGTCGTATTTTTACCAATATTCTTGAATATATATATATATATATATATATATATATATATATATATATAGAGAGAGAGAGAGAGAGAGAGAGAGAGAGAGAGAGAGAGAGAGAGAGAGAGAGAGAGAGAGAGACTGGACAGTCATTTGTCTGAAATGGTTGGTCTAGGGTCTCCTGCTTGAGTAGGGGGTTGGACTAGAAGACCTCCAAGGTCCTTTCCAACTCTGTTATTCTGTTATTCCTGTATTGCTGATTTCTCTCTCTATATAATTATATATGTACTGGGACTCCTTCTAGATCTATACTCCATTTTTTACAGAGTTCATTTGGTTCTTTATCTTTTGGTTTCTTTTTCTATTTCTGCTTCTTTGTCTTTTCTGCTGAGTTGTTCCTGTTTGGGCCCCTGTACTTTCTCCTCCTTCAAGGGAGGGTTCCAGCTGAGGGGAAAAGAGATCTCAGATCAGGTCTGAGGAAAGAAAGAAAGATGCCCTGCGCAGCTCAGTTTTTGCAGCTACTGTCTCCTTTCCTGTGGCCTTCTTTGCAGCAGGCTTTGGGGCTTCTGTTTCTTCTGTTGGCTCCTGGCGAGGCCTGTGGCTACAGGGCTCTCACCTTCTACCCTGCTTCCCCACCTGTCCAACATTGTGGTTTTGGCAGCTATGCTGTCCTGGCACTGAGAAGGGAGGAGCGTGTAGATATTTTGATAAAAAATTATTGTTTTATCAAAAATTATCTGTGCTATATCTTAAAATCTTATTTCTTTATCTTATTCTCTTCTATATCTGTTCTATATATTTTTTATAAATGAAAATGAAAACATCCTCATTGAGAAATGGAGCAGCTTTAGAGGGGCTAATCAACTCTGGACCCTTATTTGTCCTTTGCTATTGAGCTGAAAAGGATTCTCACAATCCAAAAGCTCCCTTTTTGCATCCCTTGATGATTTCAGTTCAGTTGTTGATTTAATCTCAAGCAGAAACTGTGGAAAAAAACTAAAGTTATCCTTAATTAATAAAAGCTTGCTCTTTCTCATCCAATTTTCGATGCCTCTTTCAAATTTGATTTAAAAATATCCCTCCTTGGGAATATCTCTCTGGAGCTGTCTCCACCTAGAGAAAAATAAAGCAGAGACGTGTTCTAGGTCTCTGCTTTTGTTAATGTATTACCTCTTTTTATTTTTCCTCACTTAGAAATAGGTGAATGTGAATATTTAAAAAGCTAATTGTTATCCTGGAGTTAGAGATGGTTTCTGAGGAAGGCAGCTCCCCCATCTGCAGTGCCCCAAATCAGTTTTTCCGTTACTGTTCAACATGTCATTCAAAGGAGGCAATAGCATGGAACTAAAAGGAAATCAAGTTGATGGAATATAGACATGCATATGTTGAAACATATGTTTGAATGTTCCATTAACTATATTGCTCCATAGAAAAATTCTGCTTAGAAGGAGCCTTGTTTTCCCTTTTGGTTTGGGTAAATTGTATCATGTGTTCCAGTTGTTCAGAAGTCTGATCCAGAGAAGCAAGAGATGGAGAAACAGATCTGGGAATTAAGAGCACAATTAAACCACAGTGCTGTAATGTCAGAGATAGAAGAGTTGCAGCGATGCGTTGAATGCAAAGACAAAGAGAAATTGCAGCTTGTGATGCAAATGGAGGTAAACTTTTTCTTACATTATAACTTTAGGGGCTTTTACTTTGCAAATGGGAGGTATATGTGCTAAAGTTTGCCTCACAAACATTGTCAGGTGAGAGCTGCTGATGAAGTTCAAATGTACCTTTGCTTCCCTTGTAAAGAAAGAAACAGAAAAAAAATTCTGTAGATGAAACCAGTATATTGTCTTTTTTTCTTTTCCATGTTATTTATTTTGATATCTCTAGGGAATTTGGACGGTAGTATAAGTAGTAATATTGAGCAACATTCATTCATACAGGTCCTGATTTGTAGTCTTGTTACAGTCTTGAGTAGCATAGTGCATAGTTCTTATGCAAAACTGTCTTTTCCACCTGTATTGAAAGCAGTGGTTCCCATCAATACCAAATATGAAGGCTTTTATTTGTGAAAAATACAGCTGACACAGCATCAACCTGATCCTGAAGAAGCAGAGTAAGGTCAGATCTAGTTGGTACTTGAATGGGAGGCTACTTGGGGTTATAGACTAGGCTAGAAGATTAAAAAAGCAATCATGGAAAAAGACAGTGGGAAACCAGTTCTATATTATTGTTTTTTAAAAAAGTGATCATGGAAAAAAGATGGATGTGTCCAAGTAGTCACTATTTGAACATGACTTAATGGAAATTTTATTTTCAATTTAAATATTTCCAGTAGCTCCAAGTATAACTTATCTCTTGTTGGGTATAATTTCTGGAATTACCAAACAATTAACCAGAAAGACATAATTCTTCAATTATCTAATCAATACAGTTTAAGATATATGTTTAGCTAGTTGATATCTATGACAGATATAGTTTTGACCCAGTATTGGTCAAGCCTCTGAGTAGCAGTGACCTAATGTCAAAATAAAAAAATGCCCAACACAATTCTGTAGAAAATACATAGTGACACAACAGTTTTCTGTTTGTCAAGCCACATGTGCAGAAAATTAACTTTCTTTTCCTGGCAACTGTGAGCAATTTCTTTTGAATCTGAGCAAGATTAACTAAAACTAACTGGGAGAATCAGCTGAGAGTGACAACATCATCTGTTACAATGGAATTGACCAACGAAAATCAATTATAAGATTTTCTTACTGACTCCCTCTTTTTTGCCCAGTCTGTGTCCCTTTCTTGAGATTTGAAAGAGAAGGTTGCCTAATTTAAATACTTGGTATAACATGGTGATCATTAGGTTGCCTAATTTAAATATTTGGTATAACATGGTGATCAGTGAGATAATGTTGGCTAGCATCATTTGGGTAAACCAGAGGTTAGTGCCACAATATTTTAAAAATTGGGAGAAGAGCAGTGGACTGTGGACATCATAATTTCAGGCAAATGGATACAGTCAGATTATAAAAAATGTTTTATAATTATTTTATGACCATAAGGCCAATTGGAATATTTATAAGCTGCTTTGTCGGAAAATAGAAAAATAGGGAATTGTTACTTCATAAGGTAACTCTTTGTTGCTCACTGAGAGAGGCCAGTATGGTTTCAGAAAAGATTTCAGGGTCTGCAAATGGCTTTGAATTCCCAGCCACAGTATGGATGTTAACCTAAGTGCAGAATTTGACAATAGACTGGTAGATAGTTGAATCAATATTAAATTATAAGTGCATATTATTGTTTGGCACTAAATTTGCATTAAACAATAAAATGTTATAGCAGTCTGCCACCATTGAATGGATTATTCTTTTTGCATTGTATGTAGTCTTGTCAGTTTTGTTCTAGAAAACAAAACTATTTAAATTGTATTAGTTTTTTTGTAAAGCATTACTTCTAGCAATTGTCCTTGCATGGGTAACTCTTTGGCCATTCATGTATTTGAAAAGAATGTTTCAAATTCCAAAATAGATTTATATCTTTATTCAGTTGACATGAGCTTTACATGGCCCACAGACCATATCTGGTTCTTTGACTGCCCTTGTTTGGCCTGTGGTGGGAGGGGCAGCAGTGGTGGAGAGGCAGCAGGGGGAATGGCAGCCCTCTACACATAGTCCTAGTTTCTCATATGGCCCCTTGGGAAAATTAATTGCCCAGCCCTGACATAGAGAATACATTATTTTAGAAAGCATGACTGAAATAAAAGATAAATTGAGATGATTGCTGTTTTGATTTCTTACTATGATTGTCAATTAGTATAAATCTCATATAATATTCATGCCATACTTATAAAATTATTAAATTTGATTATAATTTTAAGCACATATTTGATCATAGCTATTATTTCATGAGGGATTTAAGTTGAACACATTTGAAGAGGAAATAGAATATGAAGATAATATCTCATTTCCTTGATACCAATTTGGTGTAATGGTTAAGGCACCAGACTAGGAACCAGGAAACTGGGAGTCCCATCTTAGGCACAAACACTTGGTGGATGATTTTAGACCAGTCACTCTCTCTCAACCCAACTCACTTTGCATGGTTGCTGTTGTGGGGAATAACAGAAGGAGGAAGGAATATTAGGTATTTTGCTGCCTTAAGGTATATATAAAAATAATAAAGGCAGAATTAAAATAAAATAAAATACTCTTATAATCACAATTGTATCAGTAGCTATAAATTCTTCAGAAGACAAATTTAATAGTAAATTTTATTGAATACAATTCTAATAAAGACAACTGTGAAATAAATAAGCATGTAGGAAAGCAGTTAAGATACAACATATCTTAAAATCTTGCTTCCCACTAAAGGAATAGAATTGAATATGATGAAATGTTTATTTTCTCTCAAACATTTGAAGACTTAACAAGAAATTTGAAGCTACAACAACTATCTGAAACAACTTGTCTCACTTTCTATTGCATCCTAGTGACATTTGTATTTAACAAGAGTGTCAAGCTATAGTGGTATCTAGGTATCATTGTTAATTGGTCTTGAGAGATGTGATGAGCACCAAACATAAGGAATAATGTGGTGAGCCACAATGCAGCCAACATGACAAGTTCTAGCTTGTGTGTTGAGTACCAAGTAAACGAATATTGGGGCTAAATGTTCGTGTCAAAATGTGTTGAGTACCAAATTCCATGAGTTTCAAAACAATTGAGTACCAAGATATCACTGTACTTTATGAGAGGAAAACAAATTTTACTTTTAGGAATATAATTTGGGCACTGATCATTTTTTACATTTGCAACCCTAAAGAATTTCTGGAAATTTGACTTTACGATTTGATGATAAAAATATTCATAGCAGGTAGCCTTTTGTAAATTTTAATTCATAGACCCAGTTCCTTGTACCCATTAGGCAATTCACATTTTGCTTCCTGCTATTATCCTTTGAGGATAATTTCACTCTTGATGCAACATTAAGCCATAAAAGACTGCAAATTTGAAAACTGCAACAATAAAACAGCATCCCATCAAATCTGTTTCCCTATGCAAATGTAATATTGTTCTTTGCTTTTTCCAGATGGAGTTGATGAGCAAGATGAACAAACTTGCTCTATGGATGATTGGGAAAGTTTAGGATCTGCCTCAGAATGGCTTGATCAGTTTATTTTATACAATACTCAAAGTAATCAAGCTGATTGGATTCTGTAGACTGGATCTCTCAGCTTGCTCTAGGCAAAAGCAGCCATCATTGATTGTTTATTTGCAGTTTGTACAAAACCTCCAATGGGAATTAGGCTGATCTTGTTACAAACTTTTTAATTAGGTAGGAATGTTAAGCCCATTTCATTTGCAGTTTTGTAGTTTATGCAATTCTGAATTATAATAGAAATGGGCAGACTTAATTCATCTTAGCCATCTATACGCTGAAATATAAATGGGGCAAATTCCTGGAAGAAAAGATGTAGTAAAATCAAGATGCATGCACAGGCTAGATTGGATGCAAACTTTCTTAAAGCCCTGTAGAAAAATTGTATGTTTTGGTTAAAGTCTTTATTTTTCTTTATAAAAAGCAAAGACTGATATTTCTGATGAGGTAGTCACTTTTGACTACTTTATTGAGTGAACTTTTCTTGAATGGGACTAAGGATATGTGATAGTTAATTGGGGAAGAAAGAGATATTTTATAATTGACAATAAAAAAAGTTAATTTAGCTTGCACTAATGTACCTTTGAAAAGTTATCTGGACAAATTGGAGAATGTTCTGTACATACCAAATATATTCATTCTATTCTTTTAAACTCATGTTGAACCTCATTAACCTTCATGAGTCATTTGTATTCATCTGGATTCCAAGTATTCCCTCATCAATGGTTGTTACTGATTTAATCTGTTTCTTTTTCATCATCTGAAAGTGTTCAGAGCTGGCTTTTATATAATCCAAAACAACATTAAGAGTGAATTAACAACATTTCTATTTTTAAATAAAATAGAGATGGTAACCTTTCTTAATTGTGCTTCATCAAAAAATCCTTGACTGTCTTGCTGACCTACCACGTACAGTATATGGGCCCTATCAACAGTTAGTTTATAGTATGAGTGAATAAATTAGCTGTTAGTAATTACACTGTATACTAACATATGCTGGGAGCTTAGCAGTAGTTTTAATAAGTGATATATATCATCAAAGTAAATAATTGAAACCCACAAAGCGCAGATGTCATCTGATTACAAACTCAACTGTATATGATATAGTGCCTAATCCCATCAGAAAAGACCATGCTGAAAAACTGTATTTTGAAGCAAACCCTAGTTTTGAACATGTTTCAGTTTAAAAATGCTATAATAATTATATTAAATACATTAAATAGATAATAAAAGCTGGTATAAAACTGTTAAACACCTAAATGCAAAGTCTACAACTGCACAGAGATGTACCCTCACAATGATTGCAGCTTTGTGCAAAGAAAGGTTATTATGTGTCTTTGTATGTTTCTGTGCAATGATAGGATTCTGCACATCTGCAAAGCATATCCAGAAGTATTTCTCTGGACCTGTGCTAAGCATGCTTTGCAAGAAGAAATTGGTTATATATCCCAACACATTTTGATTAATTTGCCTATGCAGAAGGAGGCATGTACAAAGATTCACTTAATAAAGGGGG